TAACACATTTTAATAGATTTATTTATGGTAGATATTTTTCACACTGTTGCCATCCTTTCTTGGTATATGTGTTTTGAATTATTGGATGTGCTTCCATGCAAATTGAAATACACTGTCATTGTATTTACTACTGATAGCTTTCCCCAAAGCAATACATTAATTTTACTTATATGTCTTGACATCTTTGAATGGATTATCATGAACTTTTGCACAGTTTCACCAATCCATCCATAAGTAATCCATCTAGATCAGGGGTGGGCAATTCCAGGCCTCGAGGGCCGGTGTCCTGCAGGTTTTAGATCTCTACTTGGGTCAAAACACCTGAATCACATGATTAGTTCGTTACCAGGCCTCTGGAGAACTGCAGGAGATGTTGAGGAGCTAATTTAGCCATTTAAATCAGCTGTGTTGGTTCAAGGACACATCTAAAACCTGCAGGGACATCGACCCTAGAAGCCTGGAGTTGCCCACCCCTGATCTACTGTTAAGACTTAAAGTTAGGGATGTGGCAGCTTAACAGACAGGTGGGTTAGCTAGCTGTCTGGTTTTCTTCACCTGTGTTGTTGCTGCTTTTTGAAGGTTTTTCATGAAAAAATCTGAAGACAACATTTTGGCGGTACAGACGAACCAAGAAGTTTGTCTTTTTTTTTTTTCAAGGTAGTCTAGAATTTTATCAGTTTGTCACCAATTAGTAGGTACCTGTCCAGTTTAAAGTGGCAGCTAACCAAGCTTGCTACATATTTTTTAGCACACTATCCTGTTCATATACAATCATTTCTGGCTACAAAGCACCAACGTGGCAGGAGTCAAAATGCTCACGATGAGGAATCAAAAAGCAGAAGACTTCATGGTGGTTACATCCAACTTTTACATACAGTTTATAGTCTTTCACCACTTGAAGTGGCTTATGCCTTATAAAGTGTAACATATTTTGTCTGTGGCTAAACAGGTATAGCAGCAGTTCAAGCCAGTGGCAAGGAAAGGCCTGGAAAAGCATGAAAAAATATAGAGTTGAGAACTCTATATCCTTACTCTTTTCAGGCTTTGCAATTAAGAGAAGAAGCTCTTTCTAGGTGGCAACAATCCAAAACAAAAAAACTAATTACAAACAACAAACCTGGGAATATGGCACACTGACAGTGGCTGTGTTTAAGTTGAGCAGCTTGTGGCTAAGAGAGCTGCTCGTGTAGCTGGAGAAACTCATGACATCTGATGCAGACGTCTCAGAAACTTCCTTGTAAAACTTTCTCTCCATACGTTTGTGGTGCTTCTTCTGCATCTTCATGCATTCTTTGATTCGCTGTTCAGCATCACGAAATGCCCGATCCTTCAGCTTGCTGACCAGCTTGGGATTAAGGCTTGTCTGCTTGGCAGCGATGGAATCCAGGTAGCGGACACAATCCATGTGATTCTTCGTGGCAGCCATGTCCAAAGGTGTGTGGTAGTCATTATCCAAGCACCATATGTTGGCACCAAAAGATACCAGGAAGAAAAGGCAGTTGAGGTGACCATTGGCAGCTGCCAGGTGGAGCGGCGTGTTCCCCCATATGTCACACTTGTCTGGGTTTCCCCTGAAGGTCACAAGAAAAGTGTAGACACATTTAGAAAGTAATTTATTGACTATTTGGACATTCTTATTCAAAATATGTCAATGTCAATTCAGTGTCATTTTTATTTTTATACATTTAAAAGCAGCAAAGTTGACCAAAGTGCTTCACAAGTTAATGAAAAAGAGAAAAAAAAGACATGAGATGAAGTAAAACATAATATATTTAATTAATTTAATATAAAAAAAAATGAGGTAGAGGATTCTTTCTTTCTGACTAGTGTTCAGATATCTCACTTGTGAGTAATCATGTGATTTTTGACCGTGATTTCACCACTGAACTGCCAATTACGGGATGTTAAATGGACCTCTTTTAATCATTTAAACCTTAAGAACTACATTAAGTTTCAGCAAATAACTGTTGATCTTCTGTAGTTTTGATCAATTGAAAAATGGATCAATTCTTTTTTCCACAGTGGAAGCACCATAATTAAATGAATCCTTTAAAAGAAACAATTGCCCTTCACTGACATTCCACGACCTTAGGGTTACCTCTATCTGTGTTGTAATGTTGCTGTCAGTCTGTAATATGACCACAAGCTTGCTGGTGCCACAGCTACACTACCTGTATCTTATTACAGGAAACTGTAAAAAGAATGAGCGCGTGAATGGCAATGTCACACTAAAGTCCACAGAACAAAACACATTGTTACAGCTGAGTTAGATTACTTTGAGGGCAAATTTTCCTTTTTTTTGCCCCTGCACATTTCCTACCCCACCACAGGTCGATTACGCACATTAGAGCTCATTATCATCATTTTTTACAAACTAGCATCCCATGAAGAAACTTTCTGGTAACTGGTCAAAAACAGCATGTATTCATAATGCACAACTTATGTGTGCCCAGTACACCTAAACCGAGGTAAATTTATTTTAGGCTATTATTTCTGTGGATTTTTTAAAAAGTATACAGTCTTTTGCTGGCATCACTCTTCCTGTATTTACATTCTTATTGAACTGTCTTGTATCTTATCCATTTCCTCCAATACAGCCACATACAGAGTGCTGATACCAAGGACATGAAACTACTGTTGAAGTGAAGCTGTATTATTGATGGCTGCTGTTGCACAGTTTTCATTGGGAATGTATGTACAAAGTCCGCCATAGCTTAATTTAGCAAATCACACCACCTTTATGGACAGTAATAGATTTAAATATGCAGCTTTAAAAACAAGCATTATTTGAGTTCATGTGAAGAGTGACTTTTGTCAGTTTGCATGAGTGAGTGTAAACACCAACCACCCAGAAAGTAACAATAAAACAGAGATTAAACAAAGGCATCATTATTGCCCTTTTGTGCTGTAAAACACTGAAACGACATTATCTTTTCAACTCGGGTGAAAAGATAAATTGAAATTAGATATTCAGGTTGCACGTTGAGACAAAATACTTAGAACCTTCTACAATCTCTATACTCTATATACCATACAGTAGCTGCAGTAAGGGGCCATCTAACTTCATAGGTTTATGTATGTAATTTATACCTGTCCTTGTAAAGTCGATGATTACAGTAGAGCGCACATTTTCCTCATCTGCTCTTTATGACATTATGGGCTGTTTGCTTCTTTACTCCCTGTGACAGTTTGATGTTACTGCATCTGTAATATACTTGCCAAATACGGCAGAGGAGGCATCTTTCCCATGAAGCATGTCAGGCAGCATTAAACTTATCTTATATAATGGGGCCTCTTGGGGTTGAATTATTGGAGGATTTGATGTTTAATTTTAGCATCACATGTCAATCAGTAGTTTATATGTGCGCTTATTAGCAGAGGTGCTTAGCCGCTATCACCAGATGATATGTTTGGTCTGCTGTTGAGAACGTTTCAGAAACACTTTAAATTCATAATGGCCCCATTTGGGAGGATTGGGGGGGGGGGGGGGGATGCAAAACAGGTCAAGTAGATGTAATGATAAATGGGCTGTTCCATGTGAACACCAATCACATTTGTAGATTTTGCTCAATACGGACACCGGCAAAGATGCAACAACTCCCTAATATGATCTAATTTGCTATTAATTCGATAATTATTTTTCTATCACTGGAATTACATTTTCAAAATATTACGGAGGGAATAGAGCAAACTGTCCAAGACAAACTCTGTTTTAAGGAACTTGCATCATCTTATCATCATGGAATCATGCGCGTCTGTTATAGGACAAAATAGATTTTCTTTCTACATGTAATTCTCTGATTCTGTACTAGCATGAAATAACATCTCCACATCATGAGATGACTTTGAGCAGTGTCATGAGCTGAGCTTTTAAAATTTATGGTAGAGTGCTTCATTTGAACATGACACATAACACACGCTGTTATTTGAAATTCAAAGCTGTGTGTGACCTGAAAATAGATGGATAATAAGGGTTAAAGTGGCATCACAATGTTGGATGTTGAACCTCAGCCAAAATTCCACAGAAACAACGCCACTGTCTAAATTATCTGTTTAAAGAGGTTTTGTTCTTATCAAACAAAGATTTAAAGTCTAAATTAGAATATTAAGATCCCCCCCATCTGAAGACATAAGGTTCATTCAGATTTTGTGGATTTCTGATATTTCTCTGCTACTACGCTATAAATATATTCATATTAAAAGGCAGCCTCTATATTTTTAAGACCTGGCCTAACAGCATATCTACGTGGCTATTTTCTGTTGGTGAGACTGAAATTAGGTTACAGTAAAGAAAAACATTGTTTTAGTGTTATTTCAGTGCCTGTTAAAAGTCTTGTAATAAGTGTAAACATTTTATGGTTGTGCTACAAAAACGCCCGTAGTTTAAGCAGCCATGTCAATTTCTGCAGAAACATACGGGCTTATGCGTCATGTTTATGGCCCTTTATCATTTTGCGCACAGTCTCATAAATCATACTCACCCCCTCGACACAATCAGTCGCAGAGCTTCCAGGTTGCCGTGATAAGCTGCCCATAACGTCGGTGTCATGCCATCCTCATCCGGCGCGTTGAGATCCTTCCGAGTTGCCTCTTTAAGTAGGTCCAGGTAGCCATCCCGGGCCGCCTTATGGTATCTGTCATTCATGGTGCACAATTAAGTCACCCAGCTCGACCCCATTCCGACGCGTCAATATTGCTACCATCGTCTTCTTCGTGTGGGTACACAATGGTAGCTGAGCGGCTAAGGGGGCAGTTTACCCCCCTTTTCACTCAGAACCATTTGGTCAGATCAGACACAGACCGCAGTGAAGAACGCGTCGGTGGTATCCAAGGACGCGCTGCAGTACAGTGCTTCCGGTGGCCGAAAGGTCCCAATTCGCCCAAACATATATCCAGCTGATATATTATTTATTTTTAAAGTGACATTCAACATGTCAGGGAACAAGACATGAAACACGCTTTACTCTACTAAAAAAAAAATAGCTGCCCTGGTTCTTTAATGTATTGTGATATTTGAAAATGCTATTAATATTTCTTTAAGTTTTCTTTATTATTATTTTTTTATTTTTCAAATTGAGTAATAAATCTTATTACATCTACTAGCTTTAAAAAAAAAAAAATTACACTAAACTACATTAAAGTTGGAAACAAATAAATTATTGACCTCATAGCAGTTGGAACACAGGGGACAAAGATTTAGTTGATTTGTTAATACTGTTTAACCTTTTGAATAAAGCATTATTCATGCTTTAAACCTTATGCTTCGAAGAAAAAAAAAGCAAGGCACACAAAGAATTATTTCATTAGGACAAAGGAGTGTTTCAAGAAAGAAGCACCTCAAATCTCAGCCCCACCCGGATGAAAAGAGCAATGCTGCCTCATACGTTTGTAAGTTCTCAGTCACGCTACTCAGTTGAAACTTCGTTGAGGACACAGATCTCGATCATGTGCAACATCTGCCACAATTTATACGATAAAATAGATGGTAGATCACTTTATATCATGGGTAAAATTTGTGGCTGTTCATCACTTTGCACACGCATTCGCATAAATCCTTACCAACCCATTGCCACAATCGCCTGATAACACAACTGATAACGCAGACCATAAAATTAGTGTCATGCCATCCGTATCCGGAAGAGATCCTTAAAAGTTGCTTCCTTTAGCAGGTCCAGGAAATCATTCCAGCAGCTTCGTGGTACCCGTCATTCATGGTGCAGAAGTGGCAGTCTGAATGTGTAGAAGCACACAGTGACACAGAGTAGATATCAGTGCTTCTGATGGTCGAGGTGGTCTGAAACTGAGATGACATCTTTGGGGCTCTAAAAAGAAAAAAAAATCCAACCCGAAACGGAAACATTTCCTGAGGTTTTTATTAATTATTTTACACCACATTGCATCTCGTTAGGAAACAAAGACAAAACGTGCTTCACTCTGCTAAATGTGCCATTTTGGATCTTTAAAATAAATATCAATATAAAAAATATTTTAACATCTCTTCGACTTCTCGTTATTCTTTTCAACTCATTTTTCATGGTGTGTGATAAATCTCAATCCAATGTAATCAACTTCATTCAAGTTGGAAAAAATCAGAGATATGAGAGGCATCATTATGACGTGGACACAGAAGACAAGAAGTGTCACTGTCCTTTTGAATCAACTATTGTTCTCACTTTAAATCTCCAGTTAGAAAAATGCATGGCACACAAAGAATGATTTCATTAGTACAAAGGATTCCTGCAAAAAAGTACCTCAAATCTCAGCCCCACCCCACTGCAAAGCGTAAAACTGCAGCATAAGTATGCACGTTCTCAGTAAGACTACTCAGACTACTTGGAACTTCCATGACAAAATAGAGATGATAAAATAGACAGGTAGATCGCTTATTTAAAAGGATTAAAAATGGAAACAACTTGAAGCACTGAATTAAAAAAAGATATTCACTTAATACAACCTACACCCATTTAGACATCAATGGATTATTGCTGCCTTACAGGCAGTTCAAATAAATTTATAACAATAGGATCACAGAAAAAAAGAGGTAACATAAAACCTCAAAAGCATTAAAGCAAAAATTTGTTTCATACCATTTGTTTTTTTTCTACTCTGTTTGTTGTGGCCATGCTAGTAAAACTTCCATGACACCCATAGCATACCTTGCATAACAATAAAATGTACTGTATAATATCAAAACACAGCTGTTTATGAGAAAATAAACCAGTTCCTTTTTTTTTTAGTTTCTTTAGAATTTGTGAGAAAACAAGTCTTATTCTTGGAAACATCCTTTGAACTTTACAGAAACATTAAGTCCAAAACACACTCTGTTTGGAGTACTTTTTGCTCGTAGCAGATTTATTGATATTTATGACTCTTTGTAGATCATACTACAGTGTTTTCTTGGGCATATAAATGTAGTGACTGTCTAGACTGCTCATAGGATCTTGTTGAGACAGGTAGGCTTACAGGTATCCAGTAACTTTTCACTATTTTTAGCTCATGTCCTGATTTTCGTAAAATCAGGACAGGAGCTTGATTTTCTCTCTGATAAGCGCCATTTTTTAAAAAATAATATTATACAATTCTTTCACCTGCTCTGTTGTAATTCTTTATTTAGATGGCATGGGATGCTGTTGGTGAATTCAAGAAAAAAAGCACAGCTGATCTAGTTATATTTTAACTGCAGGAGATATTTTTTCTGATTTTGAACACATTACACATTATTGTACACACTATGTGTAGTAGAAGTGTGGAAATAGAATTTTGTTTGTTGATTTAAAAATTTGTTTTGTTTTAGATAAAAAGAAAAAGACCAAATTGTGCTGATTTGGCATTCGGAGAAAAGTTTCTTTTGCGCAGGATCACTCTACTAATAGCAACCAAGACTGGGTGTGGCTGTTAAACCTGTCTTGTCTTATATAGAAACAAATCCAGCAGAGAACTCACCTGTGAGCAGAGAGAGTAGCCATGTCTATCAGCTCTTGCTATGAGTTTAACTGTTTGACCACAGGAAATCAATGTGAACCCTGCAGAATGATGGCCCAGGACAAGGAAACAGAGGAGGTCCACCAGTCAAACAACATAAATTCACCTTGTCAGGAGGGAAGCAAGGATGAACCCGAACTGAAGATCTCTTCTGCAGAAGTTGGGAAGGAAAAAAGCCAAAGTTGGGGATGGATGGGATCTGGGATCATATGTGTAAACATTTTGATCCTGGGCAGTGTCTTGGTCACCGGGAGTACTTATGAAGATATAAATATCAAAGCCCCTCACCTGCAGATTTTCCTCATCATCATCCTCCTGCTTACCTCCATGTGGATGATTTATTACAGCATCTACACAGCCAGGATTAAAAATGCTGTCAATTACAAGGATGTCCACGCTGGGCCAACTTGGCTCAGGGGTGAGTAAATGTTCAGTTCAGTTTAAGTATTATTGGGTAGTTTTACAATTTTTCATCCGTTCTACATCTTCTTTCTTTTTTGCTCCTCCAGGAGGACTTGTGCTGTTTGCAGTCCTCAGCATTATCATGGATATTTTCAAGCTTGCCAGCTATGTTGGATACCTCCACTGTGGTTCTGCAGTTAAAGTTGCATTTCCCGTGGTGCAAATTGTTTTCACATTTGTGCAGGTAGAAATGAATAATAAAATGCTCCTTACTACATTTAATCTGGTCTTGATGGTTGCAAAATAATTATTGTAATAATTGTAAAATCAATTTGTAGACATACTTCTTGTGGGTCCATTCCAAAGACTGCGTGCAGCTACAAAAGAACATTTCTTGGTAGGTAATTAAGATATTTCCTACCCCTTTCTTCATCATTGTACTTCTGGGTGGTATCTATTTCGATACAGGGAAAGTAACCTAGTTACTGTAAAATCTGTTGTCCAAGAAGCTGTGAAAAATATCAGAGTAACTTTATACTGGAAATGCTGCAGCCACTAATTATGCTTTTCACTGTCTATGATTCCCAGACCTTCTGAAGGTCTCTTTTTAAAAGGAGGCTATAACCAGTAGTTACCATCTGTATTAAAAGGTGTAGAAAAAGTTCTTGTGAATTGTTTTAGTTAAAAAATGATTTAAAAAAACCTCAAAGGAAGTTCATTTCCTATAACAGTGAAGTAAGAGAACCAGTTTATATTTAAAATTTAGATTTGAAACTCTTTGCTTTAAAAGGAATTTCCATGCTGATTAATCAGGATTTAGCTTGAAACTATAACAATAACCGGAAACATTACACTCATAGGTATTATCTGATATGTTTTATGTTGGACTATCTAATCCTTGTTTTATTGTACCTTCTTTTTATCCCTCAATATTAGTTGTGGGCTGATGCTCACCCTCTCCACAAATCTGGTTTTGTGGATGACTGCAGTTGCTGAGGAGTCTGTTCACCAAACGTTAGTTCCCACCAATCTGGACAACATCACTAAACTCACTGGGCGAAGTTTGTACATCAGTAGAGGTAATTAAAGCAGTTTTTAAAAAAATGTACTAGATAAAAGAGTCGTTATGAAACCACAACATAATTCTTTGGTTTCATGTTTTACAGCAAGTTATGGAGACCGTGAGTGTAAGTGCAGCCACTCTTCATGTAGCATCTTCAAGGTTGCCTACTACTACTTGTACCCTTTCAATATCGAGTACAGCCTCTTTGCATCTGCTATGGCCTACATCATGTGGAAAAACGTGGGTCGATTAGTAGGTGAACATGGCCACGCCAAAATCAAATTCCGTCTTAACGGCATATATATTGGTCCTACTTTTGGAATCCTGTTAGTGATCGCAGGGCTGGCGACCTTCATTGCATATGAAATGGAAATGAAAAATGAAGATGCAAAAACCAAAGAAGAAGCATTGATGATGCACTTTATCATGAATATAGTCATAGTGAGCCTCATGTCTATTGTGACTGTGATCGGCATGATGATTTACAGGGTTGATGACCGCGAACACGTGTCAGAAAAAAGTCCCACACGCAACTTGGATGTGGGGTTGCTGGTCGGAGCCTCACTGGGACAGTTCGTCATAAGCTATTTCAGTATCATAGCCATGATTTCAACAGGAGTCAAAGACCCCCTGAATAGGCTTGATCTGTCCTTTGCCATAATTATGGTGATCCAGCTTGGCCTGCAGAACTTTTTCATCATTGAAGGTCTGCATCGGCTGCCTTCTCACAAAGTGAAGGAACCATCTGTGATTGTAAATCCTTATGTGGTGGAACCCGGCAATGACATGAACAACCACGAAGGCTCAAACACGAACACAGAGACAAGCCCTGATATGCCAGAAGATAACCTGCAAGGCGACAAGATACAGTACAAATACAAACCGTTGTGGAAGCGACAAGTGTTGAAGGAGGTCTGCATGTTTTTGCTCATGGGAAACATCATTGTGAGTACCTCGTCTCTCGCTGCCTTAAATATGGTTTTTAAAAACTCACTAAATATTAAGGCTCTCTTATTTTTTTTAATTTTTTACAGTTGTGGATCATGCCTGCATTCGGTGCTCGTCCTCAGTTTGACCACACCACTGAAACTGAATTCTACAAATTCAACGTATGGGCTCCTGTTGTAAACGTGGGACTTCCTTTTGGCATCTTTTACCGAATGCATTCGGTTGCCAACCTTTTTGAGGTGTTTCTGATATCATAAAATGGAAGCGTGCAACTTGTACAGCTGACTGGGTGGACACTTAAACCATTTATAACCTGTGGTTTGTTCCAATGATTTTTCTTTGCAAATTTCGGTCAAAACTAACTAATGAATACAGCCACTAAGATGTATCTGATTATTTTTTATATGAAAATGCACATGTATTTATAATGTTTTCAGAACTGTTTTTGTTTCTGATCTTGTATTAACTGATTTACACTTCAGGCATGTAAGCACAAAATAAATGCATGCACAAAAAGAAAAAAAAAAGAGTTGTTGTTGTTGTTATTATTAATTCAAGTTTACAATATAAAAGTCCATCCATCCATCCATCCATTCGCTTCCGCTTATCCTTTTCAGGGTCGCGGAGCCTATCCCAGCTGTCATAGGGCGAAAGGCGGGGTACACCCTGGACAGGTCGCCAGTCTGTCGCAGGGCCAACACATAGGGACAGACAACCATTCACACTCACATTCACACCTAGTGGCAATTTGGATTATCCAATTAACCTATCCCCACAAGCTGCATGTGCAATATAAAAGTCAAAGTAATTATTATTATTTCAGTTTCTCATTTATAGTGATCCCAGCTGTCATAACTATAACCACAAGCAGCCAATACTGTAGTGGTGTATTATTTTGAAATGACCATTGAAAGCTAGGACTGTTCGATATAACGATATATATCGGAGGACGATATAAAAACGTCTATCGTTTCATTTTACGCTATTGTTTGTTTCGTGGTGTCGCAAAATAAACTGTTTACGGCAACATTTTTTCATGGTTTTGATGGTCACTGTAGTGGCTATATTAATTTCTTAAAGTTCTCTCTTTCTCTTATATTTTATATGACCACACTAGGGACGGACAAGCGCCTGTTTTTATGCATTGTGGTTAGCAACAACGACGGTAACGCCATCGCGTGTCCGCTTGTTTAAGTTCCACATAAAACTTTCACAATAAAGCTCAAGATCCTGTTGAGATTTTTCAAAATAAACTGAATCACTTGAAAGAGCAGATTATTTACGGATGAGAAGTAAAAAAGCCGCCAGGTGCTAAAAAATAAACCTTAGACTCAAACGTTAGAACAGGCTTTTCCCCGCGGCACACCGTGTAATAAATACTCACAAAGAAAACGGTGGCCTTTACAACTTATGTCTTAAAATGTATAGTTTCATGCATCTGTTAAAACACTCGACTCCAGGTACATGACGCGCAGCTGGAAACACTTCCCGCAAGTCGAGCTGCCCGAGATTCACAGAATTTACAGAAAATGTTATATTTTTGTGATTTATATCGTTATCGGGATGATAGATGTCTTATATCGGGTTATGAGATTTTGGTCATATCGCACAGCCCTATTGAAAACAGTGAAGACCTTACAATAAATACGACTAGTCAGATCTGCTTTGCCCACGTCTTTTCCTGTATAGCTTAAGAAAAAAAAAACGAATGAAAAAAATCATCTCCCAACCACCACACACACAAACGAAAAGAATCGGTCAGAAATGTTCACATTTCTAACTTCACTAGCGATTTAAATGGTGCTATAAATACAGAACTTTTTTATGTCGAATCACTGGCTGCATTAGTTTTGGGGGGTTTACGCCCTTCTGTTTGAAGACTATAGATAGATTATAGATGCCATAATAATTGAAAAAATACATCCCAGCGTTACCTTTGTACTGGCCCAGTGACTGTAAAGAGAGTTGTGACGACTCACCTGCTCTGACACGCGCCGGTGTTGTAGTGTAATGACCAATTAACTTTCGCCTCTCGAGTTCCTTGCCCTTACTGCCCTTTTTAAAAATTACAAAACAAATAAGTTAAAACGCAACAAAGAAAACGCTTTCCCAGAGCCCGTACAGCAGATAGGCTACTTATTAATACAACAAGCTTAAAACATAAACGGATAATCTACGTATTTGGGAGTGTTGTGCTTACCTTTGTGTCTGGCAAATTCAAAGCCACACCTTCGCGGGGTCCTTAGCACACGGGTTTGTTTACTACACGTCACCAGGAAGTAGAGCTTTCTGGTGCCAAAATGCAGAGACAGGTGATCGAGCTTAAATTTGAGTTGTATCAGTATTTAGAAGAGATTATTTTTTGAAATAGGCGTTTTAGACTGTTTAATATTTATCAAATAAGAGTAAAGCGCCGTAGCAGGTACTTTTCTCGGTGTGTTTAACTTTGTTCTGGTTTCAGGACACTCAGGATGCCCCTCTTTTTGGAGAAGAGGATGAGAATAACCAGAGAAAAAGGTCCAAAATGAGGTAAGATGTTGCACTTAATGTGTTTTTTTGTTTTTTTTTAGCCCAAACCTCCTTAACCACGAACTAAATTCTCCATTTGGGGGTTTCAGACATCCTCTGGTGTCTTTTTTCCATCTCTTCTTCCGAACAAGTGCCATCTTGGTTTATCTCTTCTGTGACATTCTCAGCGGTCGCTTTGTTGTCTGCATGGTCACCATCATACTTCTGCTATCATGTGACTTCTGGACTGTCAAGGTGGGTAACGTTTCACCACAGGGCTAAATGCAGTTATATAAGTAGCTGCCACGCATAATTTTTTTTTTTTTATAAGGGAATAGATCGTGCCTCAAGAGTTGGCAGTTCATCTTGTAATTGGAAGGTTGCCGGTTCGAGCCCTGGCTCCGACAGTCTCAGTCGTTGTGTCCTTGGGCAAGACACTTCACCCGTTGCCGACTGGTGGTGGTCAGAGTCCGGCAGCCTCGCCTCTGTCAGTGCGCCCCAGGGTGGCTGTGGCTACAATGTAGCTTGCCATCACCAGTGTGTGAATGTGTGGATGACTGGATGTGTAAAGCGCTTTGGGGTCCTTAAGGACTAGTAAAGCGCTATACAAATACAGGCCATTTACCATTTACCACTGCATTGAGATTTTTTATCTTTTTACTTTATCATTTATTAGAAAAAAATTACTAAATGCATCTGGAAAAGATTATGACAATTTACCTTGTGGGTTTTAGAATGTATCCGGCAGATTGTTGGTGGGTCTTCGATGGTGGAATCAAGTGGATGAAAATGGGAAGAGCCACTGGGTGTTTGAGTCAAAGAAGGCAAGTAGGAACTAATCAGCTTTGAATGGGTCTAAGGAGCTTGGAAAGAAAAGAATCTGATCTTCTCTAAGTTTCTTTAAGATGTTTCACCTCTCATCCGAGAAGCTTCTTCTGTTCTAAGAACAGAAGAGAGAGTCACAAGTTTTTAAGCTTAAAAATGTGTGACTCTCCACCAAAGCCGAAGAAGCTTGTTGAATGGTTTTCAGGGGTTTTATCGATTTTTAGCATTATTTTTGAATCGTTTTTATCATTAACCCGGTTTCCCTGGGTCTTTTCCCATATGTTATGAATAAATCTTTTTTTTCCTTTGGTACCGGTACTGGTTTTATTTTGTTGTATTCATCCATGACACCTTAAAGGCCGGTCCGTGAAAATATTGTTGGACATAAACCGGTCCGTCGCGGAAAAAAAGTTGGGGACCGCTTCCTTAGACTACAATGACCCGGATGACTTAGAACCTTCACAGACATCAGGTATGAAAGGTTTAAACCACCAGCTTATAGATGGAAAAATAGAAAAACAAGGGAAAATGTACATACACAGCCACAATATACAGTCACCTAAAAAAAGAGTTTCCACACTCTTACTGCTTCCATTGGAATTAAAAGAGTAAGAAACATCCAAGTTCTTTAAATCAAATGTACTTGATTAATTGATCAGCAAGTGTAAGAACCTCTAAAAAAGCTGTTGGTAGTTTGCTGACCTGTTGATTTTAATATGTGGCCATGCCAGCAAATTCACTCCAAGGTCAGATCATATAATGCGATCTGACCTATGCAACCTAGTTGCAACATCTTAGACTCTACAGGCCTCAGTTTGCATGTTTAGAGAATTACTGTGTGGCTTATTTGGAAGGTTTTGTGAGAGAAAAAAACTCTTCTCTGGTATCTTGGTATCTTAGGCCATCTGAACAAACCACAAGTCTTTAGGAATAATGTTCATTGGACATATTTAAAGAAAACCAAACTCAACATGTCACCACATATACTTCTTACTGACAAGACCTGTGCACCTTGCAGTCAGTGAGTCAACTGTGAACACCTCTGGATGCTAAAGTATTGAAATTGGTCCATATGTCAGGATAATGATCCTAAGCACAACAGCAGATCTACACCACACAAAGAAAAGACTCAGAGCTCGAAAACCTCAATGAATTGAAGCAAATGGTACAAAGAAGAGTCCAACACAACATTGTGAGAAACTCATCCAGAAAACAATCACTTCAAGTTCTTTAACTTACTGCTGCTAAAAGTGGTTCTACAAGCCACTGAATCATGGGGTGGACAGGACAGACTGCACAGATTTATGTGACATCTTCCTTTTTCATTTGACTGATGGTGATATAACATGTGTATATATATCTTTAAATATGTCTACTTTTCTTAACAGACGCACAGCAAAAACACAAAGTCCAGCGCAGAATCCCGGGTATTCTGGCTCGGCCTTCTTGTCTGCCCCATTTTCTGGATCCTGTTTGTGTTCAGCACTGTCTTCTCCTTTAATATTAAATGGCTGGTCAGTTTAGAGTTTCAGCGTGTAAGACACATTCCTGACAACTTAAATAGCTGCTGATTATTGGCTGACATCTACTTCTTGTTTCCTCCAGGTTGTGGTAATATTGGGCTTGGTTTTACAATGGGCAAACCTGTATGGTTATGTCAGGTGCAAGGTGGGTAGAAAGTCTAACCTGAGAAACATGGCAAAGAACTATCTCGGTGTCCAGATTCTTAAACGGGTATGTGAATCATCATACATTAGCCCTTCTTTTCTGTAGTTTGTCTAATGAACTTTTACATTAATATTTTCCTCTTTTTTTTTTCTTTTTTAAAACAAAGGCAACGAAGCAACCAGAAAGTTTTTGAAGTCAGCTGCTGGATGGGCCTGTTTCTTATTAAAAAAAAAAGGTGTTTGGTCTTCTTTCACAGCACATGGGTGATTTCAATTCCAGGAAGAGGATTTGGATAAGGAAATCATTCCTTTTATCTTGAGGGTGTGCCACTTTGTAGCCTTTGACAACTCATGCATTTTTGTAGCCTCATGGAAAAATACATTTTACTGTGCATTATTGGGAAAATGTATGTAATTACCTGCTACCTACCCTTTTTATGGTGTTTGATATTGGGTATTGTAAAGACAAAGTGTTTTGCAGTTTAGCTGTAAATTTATACAAAAGTTGGTCATTTTTGTTAAGGTATGTTTATGGGAAATTATATGTTATGGTAAATAAGAAAATAAAGGTTTACTGTCATTTTTGGGTTGAAATTTGAATCTTACCATTGTGGTAGTCCAAATATATTATTGTCGTCAAAAAGTATTTAAAAGGCTTAGGAAAGATTCAGCATGTCTATACTCTCTTAAAACACTCTTGTATGTGTCATGAGATTTCGTCATGTGACCCATCAGATTTCATAGAGCCAGGGACTATTATCTTGTGGTGCTTTCCACCAATAAGAATGTCAAAACTATGAAATGGGTATTGACTTTCTTAGCTGCTCATTAACGCAAGGAAAAGTAACAGTAAGTCAAACAAATAACCACTTGTTATCACCAAGGCATACAGAAGTCCAAACCAGGTGCCACTGTTGCCAGCTAAGAGGAGGAAACTGTGGCTACAATTTTCATGCAAATTGAACAATAGACGATTGTCTCAATTTCTGCTGTAGCACTCCGATACTAGGTTAGAATATGGCATAAACAGCATGAAAGTATGGATTCATCTTGCCTCCTGTCAAGGAGGTGGCGGCGTAATGGTATACAGGATCATTTCTTGGCACACTTTGGGTCCCTTAGTACCCACTGCCACGAAGCTGAAATGATCTCAAACTGGTTTCCTGAACATGACAAAGAGTTCACTGTACTCAAATGGCCTGCGCAGTCACCTGATCGCAATCTCAATAGGGCATCTTTGGAACGTGCTGGAAGGAGAGATTTTCACCATTGAAGTGAAACCGACAAATCTCCAGCCAGCATGTAATGGTATCATGTCAATGTGGACCAGAAACTCTAAAGATAGTTTCCAGCACTGTGTTGAATATTCCATGAATAAGGCAGTTCTGGCAAAAGAAACCCCAACCCAGTACTTGAAAGCTGTACCTAATAATGTGCCTGATGACTGTATATCGTCCCAAATTCTAAATATGAACATCCTCACAATTTAGTAGTGTTGTGCAGATAAACAGAGGTCCAGCTACTAGCTAATCTCATAAATATGTCAAAGAGGAAAATCGATTAATAACGTTGTCGCCAGACTGCAGGTGAATCATTCAGCCACTTGGTGGCAACAAAGGAACACTTGGGTTTAGCAGATCTGGTAAATATGTGGATATAATCACAATAAAGAAACCCTAAAAATGATTTTTAGTTCATGGTGAAAGTTAAATGTCTTTATTTCTCTTATTTTTAGAAGTATGCAATAACATCTTTTTTGCTAAACACCCAAAGACACAGTACAACTACACATTTGCACACATCTGTAGACATCTGTAATTAGCATATCATAGTGACAGTGTGGTTTAACTAATCTAATACACACATGCAGAGGTTTTTATCAGTCATTGCAGCTGACATGTACCCTAAGATTTAGCTTTAAATAAATGTAGTTTGGTTTTAAGAGCAGCTCTTAATGCACATCAGTTATACCAGAAATCAAAATGGTTAACTTCACATTTATATTTTAACATTATTACAGTCATCATAACAAGGTATCCAAGGCCACCAATGAAATAGATCCAGAAAAAAGTCTTGTCCAACATGTCGGCAAACTTGTGTTGTCTCTCCTTTTCCGCTTCGTTGGTCTCATGAGTTTCCAAGTATTTGGCCACTTTTCTGAGTATTCGACTGTTCTCTGAGCCATTCGGCTGGATGGTGCTAATGTCAGCTTTAGTTTCTGGAGGGATTGAAATCATAGTTAGAATAGGTTATGCCATTATTACTAAAAAAAAAAATCAAGCCTCAATAAACATCAAGACACCTCATACATAGTAACAATTTACAGTTTCAATATTTGCAGGATTTGCTCTACAGTCAAGTCTTCCTCACCCTCATCCTCATTTTGTTCCTTGTTTTCTGTAATTTTGGGGGCTGATCCTTTGGACCAACAGCAGAAAACCAGTTGGCCTTCTAGGGATAGCCTAGTAGTTAGCATGGACACCAGCATGCTCACAACCAAGAAGATCAGGCAAATACAGAAGTGGGGTCCTGCAGCACAAACAAATTAGTCAGGTTTTTTATTTAACACCCAGTGTGAGGCCATGTATACGGTTTGTTTGTGCACATGTTTCTCTTGTAACATGACTCACGGATTATTGGGCTGCATTCACTGTCTCCAGGGAGCTGGCTATTTAGGATATTGATAAACAGGGTGAAGCTGAGCACCAGGGTGACCTTGAAAGCATTGCGTCCTCCACCTCGCAGTGGCAGAGCAAAGCTGACTATATCAACAAAGAGGATCAAATAACTGGGCAGCATCAATGTTAAGAACGGGTTGGTAGGTTTGAGTTTTAGTTCCACCTTAGGAGTATAACAGAAAACATAGCAGAAGGAAATAAAGTAAGTGGCTTTTCATTTTTGAAAGAATCTTTGTAACACTTGACATTTTTTTACACCTATGTATATAAATGTTAGCCAGTGTTCAATTTAAAGATGAAAAGGACGTTATCTAAGGATGCAGCAGTTAATAAGATAAGTCCTTTCTTTGCTCGTCCTAGCTGTTGAAAAAATGTTGGGTCACCATCATATGTGACAAGAGAACCAGCAAATCCCCCCCACCCCACCCCCATGAAAGAAAGTGGGTCTATGTAGAGCCAGATTCTTTCATTTTTGGACAGTGACACAATTTGTCACTGCAGTAAAGGCCCCGAAACAAACCTTGTTGACACTGGCTATGTCTTCTAAACTTCAGGAATTCAAAAAACACAATGATAATCATTTAATTTATTTTTAGTCTAATTCGTTTTTAACTGCTGGAAGGGGGGGGGTGTATAAAAAATGGCAGGCCTGGGTGAACTTACCTGGATGTAATTGCGGTCATCTCGTTTTTTCTGAAGTATTGCAGCCATCGTTTGCCAGTCTCCGTGACTATTATCACTTAGTCTCACTTCACCAAACACCAGTGTTGTACCACATTCTGAATAAAATTAAGTCTGCTTTGAGATTGCTTATTTTAAAATAGAGTCATAAAGATAATTTCTTTTCAGTAATCGAGTGACTTCTTAGCAATATTGTAAGACACAAATTAAAAGCAGTAAAACTGGTAGCAAAGACCTGCAATGAATTAAGTTATATTGAAGAACTGCAGTTACCCTGCTTTTTTCCATGTTACACTTTTATGATCGTTGATCATAAACGGTGATCAGCGGTGTTGTTATGAGATTATTACAATTCCATTCAAATGGTAATGCATAAATTTTACATTTCAACTTATACAAATGGCCAAAAAAGTACGCGAAAACGAGACATTATAAAACACATCTCAGAAATGATCACATATGTAGTATATTAGTGAATTGCTGAGCTTACTGTCAGTGTCCCAGGCTTGTACTGCAACAGGACACACATCATAAGCGAAGGGATAGTTGAACAGGTTAACTTCACAGTTCACTTCTGCATTTATGATCAGATCGTCCTTCACTGTGCCGTTACTGTACACCAGCACATTAGCAGAGCCATGCTTCAGAGTTGATGTCATTCTACACAGAAGAGATAAGTGATGTCTCAGAAGAATTTTAGCCATTGTTTGAACTGGCTTAGTGATGGCTCTTGGATGAAACTACTTACGCGTTTGTTACAAGGAGCTCTGGAGTCCAGATTTTGTCTACTGGCAGAATTACTTCATCAAACTTGTACACCGATGTGTCCCACGCCAACTCAGGATCTTCCCATTCCTGTGTTTTCAAATCAAAATTTATTTTTTTCAAAATAATGTTTTGGGGTTTGTTTGTTTTTTTTACTTTTTTAAAAAGTATTTTGAAGCTTACGATCGAGGCTTGTAGAAGAATTAGTAGACGGAGTTGCTTTGTGTTCTGTTGAAAACAAATTAGGTAACAAAGAACTGTCATACAGAAAAGTCACCAAAGAGGTGTAAATGGAGAAATGAAAATATATATATTAGCTCCACTACAAAAAGTTAATACTTACAACTTCCAGAGTCTGGTACTCTAATTTTGGCACTCGGACTTCGTGAGTGCAGCTATCGTTCTGTGGCTGCGACAACAGATTTTTATCTATCAACACGTTACTCAGACATCGGCGACTTGTGCAGTTGGATGAATGCACATGTTCTAAAATTGGAGAAAGTTTGAACATAAGTTTGAATACTTTTTACAACACTTTTTCACTGTTCTGCTCCCTCTTACAATATATTTTGTAGGATAAGCTTTGACAAAAGTAAGGTGCACTTACCTACAGTTATTACACTCAGTAAGAACATAGTCCTCACTAAATTGTGGGAAAGAAATTTCAGCATTTCTGTAGTCTCTAAACCGGACTTTATATCCAACTAAAAACTACAAATTGACCGACCAGTTGTGTGCAACTTTTTACCATAACTGTCCTATCGTCCTTGTTTAGGTTCAGCCCAACATGTCACTTTTATAACCCAGCTATGTCGTGTAACCTCTTAGAGTGTGCACGCTTCAAGACACTGACGCACAATAGCCTTTAGGAACACAATAACATGGTTATTTACAGAGGGTTCAGTGTGTTCGTGAGTGATCCTGTGTAAACAGAGAGCACATTTATTTCCAGTGTATTTTTACCTACTGACAGATACAGGTAGCTCCAGCTGCTTTTTGTTATTAGAGCTATGCTAATCTGCCTAACTATGGGCTGTGTATGTCATACATAAGAGTGAACTGAAGCAACCAGTAATACAGACAGTAATGCTGAATGAGGCTGGTCTGCCAGCCATAGATTCAGAACAAAGATCTGAGACATCTGTGGTTTAAGTTAAGTTGAAAAAAGGCGTGACCATTGATCAAACATCTAGTTTCGACAGCTGCATGATGAAGTCACTCAGAAGCTTATTAAGTTACATAATGCTCAGTCGAAATTCTGCATTGAGCTGGTACAATACATATTTTTTCATATGTAAAGACATATTGTTGCTGTACCCTATAGGCAGTATAATTATGGATTATTAACAATGCGAAAATAAACAGATCTCTCTGTCTTTCAAACTGCTGTGCCTCTGCGTGTTGATTTTAATTAAGGCCATCCTTAAATTTCGAATTGTACAGCAATTATGTCATA